TAGAGAGCCCATTAAACCATGAAAGATGTCACAACGAGATGTTGTTGGCAAGATTGCCGAAATACTTACCAGAGAACATCTTCACCATGCTTTCATGCATTTTCTCCAAATTTATTTGCAAACAATTCATTTGATATATTTTTATATTTATTAATTTAGCAACTTTACCATGCAACTGATGACTACGGTTGGGTTAAGGGTTGGTGAAGGTGTAGACATTAAAAACTATGATGGTTGGGTTTAGGTTTGGGGTAGGCAAAGACGTTAATAACTATGATGGTTGGGTTAAGGGTTGGGGTAGGCAAAGACGTTAATAACTATGATGGTTGGGTTTAGGTTTGGGGTAGGCAAAGACGTTAATAACTATGATGGTTGGGTTAAGGGTTGGGGTAGGCAAAGACGTTAATAACTATGATGGTTGGGTTTAGGTTTGGGGTAGGCAAAGACGTTAATAACTATGATGGTTGGGTTAAGGGTTGGGGTAGGCAAAGAGGTTAATAACTATGATGGTTGGGTTTAGGTTTGGGGTAGGCAAAGACGTTAATAACTATGATGGTTGGGTTTAGGTTTGGGGTAGGCAAAGACGTTAATAACTATTATGGTTGGGTTAAAGGTTGGGGTACAGGGGCGGACTGGCCATCTGGCAATTCTGACAAATGCCAGAAGGGCCAGACCAGTTTTTAAATGTGGGCCTGGTTTCAAGATAGGCGACCCAATCCGAGGTTACCTGGACGTAATCAAAATCTGGCAAGAATGTCATATTATTTCACTATCTGTACACCAAATAAATAGTGAATGTGCGTGTCTGTGGGTGGGGCTGTGTCGGTGTGGTAATGTGGGGTGGTGTGGCTACAGTGCAAGGGCTGATTTTTTTGTCCCAGTCCGCCCCTGTTGGGGTAGGTGTAGACATTAATAACAATATTGGTTGAGTTTAGGTTTGGTAAGGTGTAGATGTTAATAACGATGATGGTTGGGTTTAGGTTTGGGGTTGATATAGACTTTAATAACGATGACAGATGAGTTAAAGGGTTGGGGTAGGTGTATACATTAATAACTATAATGGTTGAGTTTAGGTTTGAGGAAGGTGTAGGAGTTAATAACGATGATGGTTGGGTTTAGGTTTGGGGTAGGTATAGACATTAATAACTATTGTACAGCGCCATCTTGCTGACTACTTGGTTTTGACGTGTCTCCATAACTTTAAGTTACACCTCGAACGTACATGTTACACTCTCAGGGCCCCTTCATGTTATGTCCCTATCTTGAACCCTGCTAACAGACCCTACTTGTGTGAATGGAATTTTAGACAGTGCTTCCATCTGTACATGTTTTTTGTTTTTCATTTTAAGTATGTGCTTTAAAATTAATTTTAAAAAATCTCAAACAGTTTAAATTTTGTTTTGTTGTTTTTTTTTTATCTTAAATTATTTTAAAAAATTAAAAAAAAATTTTTAGACTACTAGACCTTTGGGTTTAAATGATTGTATCTTGACTTAAGAAAGCGAAAATATTTGTATCAGAAAACAAGACAAAAATATTGAGAAAGAAAACTGCAGTGTGGGCTCTAAAAGTGTAGTTCTCTGTTCCTCACCAGACGTAATAAGCTATTGAATAAAAATACAATCCAGAAGCTTCATCAATGGCCAGACTGATTTCTGAGTGCTTTGGAAAAGTACTGGGTCTGCAGCTGTAATCTTGAGAGACATTTATCAGGACACTTTTTGATTTGCAAAAAAAAGTTTTTTTTTTTTTTTTTAATTCATATTAAGTGTATTATCTCAGCTGTTCCGCTGCGCTGTATTGACTTTCTCTCTGTATGTACACTTGTCTGCATGTTAATGGTAGATTTAGCTCTGAACATAGCACTGGTTTAGTGGGGAACATCAGCTGGTTTATTTCTGCTACTCTTTTGGAGTTTTCAGGTTTCATTTGCCATACATGAATGAGATTGTACACCTTTAGAAGTGCTTTTGATCCGGTCTCATGAATGTATTGTTCTGTCATATTTACTGTACACCATTTGAAATCACCGATTGTTCTGTGGATTTCACTGTAGCATGAAGCACATAGTCTTTCACAAATGATAAGCTTGATTTAGTGACCTCATCACTATCAGAACCACCAGAATTAAACTTAAGGTCAGTAAGAATATATTGGCTCTAAATTTGCAGCTATATACAACAGTCAGGTACATTGCTGTCTTCCGGAATTTGTGTGGTTGTGTCTGTGTGTAAATGATGGATTTTAAGATGTGTGTGTGTTGAATATTGTGAATGCATATTGAACTTGTTTTGCATTTTTAGTAGCATTTTGTGCAATATTTGTTATACGTTTACACATATTTATTTGTCTAAATTATTTTTCTATTTTTCATATTTTTCTTATTTTGTGATGAAATTGATGAAAACAACATTTCTGAACATGTCCAGACAGGCAGAGCATACTTTTGCACGTTTACAGCAGTGTTTTCCCTTTGTCTCTCAATCTAATCTTTCATCTCTATACCGACGAGAAATTCCTCCAGACACAAAACAACATTTAGAGCCAAAACACAGAAGAGATTGTGTCTGTATTACCCCTTTCTGTCACTTGAGACCTTTTTGAACAGAAACGGTCATGCATCTGACTAAATGAAAGAGACCTTAAATTTGCCTGAGGTTCCACTCGTGGATGTGGAAAAGTGTGTGTTTTAATTCTGGCTGAAAGGAATGTGTAGCCATCATCGAGCGCATCTGCTGTCATTTATCAGCACAATCACTGTTGTCCTGGAGAGCAGGTGTTTTGGGTTCAGAAGCTGCTGCTATGAAACTTGTACTTGCACCCGAGCACATTAGACTTGTGTAAGAGCTCAATTAAAGCCCTGAAATGCTGATATGTGGTGTTTTTGTGACTGGCTGCTTTAATATTAAATACTCACTCTAAAGCAGGGGTTCCCAAACTTTTCAGCTCGTAACCCTGAAAATGACAATACCAGTGACTCGCAACCCCCAAAATCCTCTAAGGTGGTTATAAATATAGAAACCTTGCATGCAATGGCGCACACTCACACACCAATAGACCCAAGTCTATTTTTCGTTTAATTTTTTTAATGTATGTGAGTGCTGTAAATGAGCCAGAAGGTTTAACCAGGTGTTATGAAATATCTGCTGCATCTCACGCTATTGCTGTGCCTTTATTATAATGTCACAATCCAAAAAAATGTTTAACTATTAGCTACTATAGTAGCTATATAGTATATAGTATCCATAAACAACAATTTTTTCTCTTCAGTAGGTTATGGATAAAATATGGTAATTCTTATGGTTTAATAAAAATAAATAGACTTTTGGAAATCACCAGGCGACCCCCCTTCATTGTTCCGCGACCCCTCGGGGGGCCCGACCCCACTTTGAGAACCACTGCTCTAATGGACTATTTACAAATATTATTATTGTTATTAAAAGCACAGCAAACAAATGTAATTTGATTAGAAATAAAGCTCATTTTGGTAAAACTGTAAAGTACCTATTCACACTAATAGCTTAATACCTGTTTATAATTACAATATTGCCTATTTATTGTTACTTATAAAGTATGATCTTATTATACATTCATAATCCTTCTTAATATCTTTACCCTACTTTACTTTATTGAGCTAAAAGTCTTAGTTAATGGTTTGTTAATGGTGAAAATTATACCTTAAAATTAAATTAAAATTACTTATATATTTGAAAAACCCAAAAACCTTAAAAGAAATAAAACTTTTTTAGATTTCAGTTAGTTGCCAAAAAAGATTTCAAATTTACAGTAGTTTAATGATGGACAAAAATAACCAAAAAAAAAAAAAAAGATTTCTTCTTGATATAAACTAGATCTACACACTCACCGGCCACTTTATTAGGTACACCTTACTAGTACCGGATTGGACCCCTTTTTGCCTTCAGAACTGCCTTAATCCTTCAAGTTCTCAATTTACTACTAATGGGCCCAAAGCAAATATCCCCCTCACCATTACACCACCACCACCACCACCACCAGCCTGAACCTTTGATACAAGGCAGGATGAATCCATGCTTTCATGTTGTTGACCCCAAATTCTGACCCTACCATAAGAATGAAGCAGCAGAAATTGAGACTCACCAGACCAGGCAATGTTTTTCAATCTTCTATTGTTCGATTTTAGTAAGTGTGTGTGATTCGTAGCCTCAGTTTCCTGTTCTTAGCTGACAGGAGTGGCACCCGGTGTGGTCTTCTGATGCTGTAGCCCATCCGCCTCAAGGTTGGACGTGTTGTGCATTCAGAGATGCTCTTATGCATACCTCGGTTGTAACGAGTGGTTATTTGAGTTACAGTTGCCTTTCTATCGGCTCAAACCAGTCTGTCTGTTCTCCTCTGGCATCAACAAGGGATTTGCGCCCACAGAACAGCCGCTCACTGGATATTTTCTCTTTTTTGGACCATTCTCTGTAAACCCTTGAGATGGTTGTGCGTGAATATCCCAGTAGTTCAGCAGTATCTGAAATACTCAGACCAGCCCATCTGGCTCCAACAACCATGCCATGTTCAGTCATTTAAATCACCTTTCTTCCCCATTCTTAACCATGTCTACATGCCTAAATGCATTGAGTTGCTTCCATGTGATTGGCTGATTAGAAATTTGTGTTAATGAGCAGTTGGACAGGTGTACCTAATAAAGTGGCCGGTGAGTGTATATTTCAAATAAAAAATAGCAAAAATTACTAAAACATTTAAATTAAGATGTAAATAAAAAAATATTTCATTTAACATAATAATAATAATGTATCAGGTTTATCACGTCTTTCTCGGTTTAATTAAAAAACTTCTTTTAAACTAGTAAAACAAAAACTTACTAAATACACATTTACGTTTGTTTTATTGCATTATCTTTGCATCCTTAAATACCTTTAAATTGTCAAATGTTCAAATTTCTATTCTGCAATGTTATGCAAGCAATGCATATTTAAAATACAGTAAAAAGCCATTAATACACGACATTTCCGACCCTTTAAGTATCATTTATTTAGTGTGCATTATTATTATATTCAGTAATAAAAACCTCTCTGGTCTAAATTACTGCAGATTTGACAATAACTAAATACATAAACAACAGTTAATTGATATAGACGTTTCAACATGAACAGTGAATATTTTGTTTAACATTTGACAGATCTGTGCGAGCAAGCATGGCTGAAACACCATCATCCCCATCTGTCTCCAAGGATGATTTCCATGCAGCCTCACCATAGCAACCAGAATAGAGCGCTGAACTGGAATGTTTTGTGTACCTTACACTTTTAGTAAAAACCCATAATAAAGAGTTGAAAAACAGAGTCCCGTTTCAGTCAGCATGAAAAAAATGTACGTCAAACATATTTAATCAGAATCCGAGTGTGAATAAAAAAGCACGCACTCTTACACAAAACAATGACCACAGTTTATTTGTACTCCTACATGCTTTTGTATGCGTGTCAGACTGTGCTTGATTCACATGCTTACACTCATGTCCACCATGTGTGTGTTTTTATGAGGACTCGTTTGTATAATGTTATGGGTATGACAATGTTAAGGTGGTTTATGAGGACATTGTGTCCTCGTAATTCAAAAGTGCTTAAAAATCATATTTAACAACAGGACTGGGAGATGTGATAAAAATCTCATGTCATATCATATCCTAATGAAGATATATATCACAGTATAGTACCATTTATGCAAATTCAATTAATTAGTAGTTTACTGTACATATATTGACCACATATAAAAGACTAATTCTTTTTGACATTTTAAGGTATATGCTTAGGAAAATTACTCATTCAAATGTGATCTTCAGAGCGGATGTTTGGTTAAAAACTGTAGAAATATTAAATAAACATAAATCAAATATATTACTTCTAAAACTAAATTATTACAGGTCCAACGTGAAAATAAACAATAAAAAATGACTAAAAAAGCCAAATATAAACATCGTAATTTCAAGATTGCAACTTTCGCATGATGCTGTTTTTCATGTTTCTGTCTGTATCGATTATAAAAGGTTGTACCATAAACAATGTATTTTGCGAAACTACAATATAAATGACAAAGCATAATATGAAACTATAAACTTTTTTTGTTTGTTTGGTCAACACAGGCTCATTGTGAAAAAATACCCTGTAAACATTTCTGGAAAGCCCAAATTATATAGCCAGAGCTACTTATGGCTGCATTTTGATTTTAAAGAGAACCCTACGGGGTGGTATGACGTCACCGACGGCTTTTGATTCTTTTTGCGCTACCAACTGACCACTGGAAACTCAGTGTGGATGGCTTTTCCACTGTTACCAGTTTGCCCAGAAGCTCGCCATGTACGTCACCGTTGTTGACCGTGTTCGAGTCTAGCAAAAAACGATTCCAGAAAGCAGGTAAAACAAAAACCAAAGGCAAAAAATAAATAGTAAATAACAGGGTGAGAACATGGTAAGATCTGAAAACGCAGTCAAATCAGGTAGCCGCGAAGGTGTCACGGTTTATGGGTCTGTGTGTGTGTGTGTGTGTGGTTGCGTTGTTGCAAGACTGACAGTTCTGTGTTTACCTTTTACAGCTGTGTGGTCACGTGGTATTGTTGTCACCAGTGATTCCTAGTTGCATAACTACTCAGCTGATTCATCAGAGCGCTTTTGAAAACACTATCGGTTGGGTTTAAGGAAGGCAGTGGCCGGGTTAATCAGCGCTTTTGGAAACACTTTGGTTGGGTTTAAGGATGGCAGTGGGCGGGTTATTCAGTGCTTTTGAAAACACTATCGGTTGGATTAGGAAAAAGGGGTGGGTGGGTTTATCGGTCGTCAGTCAGTCATTCGACAGCGGCCTCTGGTGAATTTACGCGAGAATAGTAGGCGCAAATGACACACAAGAGAAATTTGAGTTTTGAAAGCATACACAGTTGCCTCTGGTGGATTTGCAGAAAGAAAAACTGCAAAAAAGAGTATCTCCTGAGACGTATTTTGTGATCTACAGAAATGTATACAGGGGTACTTATCAATAATGAGCCTGGGTTGCATTTGATATATCGGTTTAGTGGTAGGAGTAGGGTAAGGTAATATAATACATGTTTTCAGTCTAAAATACATTACACCTGTGAAGAGTCCTCATAAACCACATATACCATACAAGAATGTGTGTGTGTATTTGAATTACATGATTACACTCATGTAATCATGTAAGATCTTACCCACTGCGATTTAAATGTGGGTTTTTAGTGAAGAGTTGGTGGCATATGACACTAGTAGTGACACTTAATTGCACTTGGAGCTTCATGTGTTCACAGCAAAACTGATTTAGAAATCACCTCTAATGAAAACATCATTGCCAGAATCTGAAAGCAATATGAAAAAACACAGAAAAAAAAGCTGCAGGAATGTGTAAACTATTAGCCACAAGATGATCTGAGGGTGTTAAGTAGAGCACAACGTCAGATCGCAACCATCATGAGAGACTAGTGACATCTGTTCAGTTTTCGGTACTAAAATACAACCAAGTACTAAAAGCAAACATTTTGACAGCACTAGTGTACTTGAAAAGCTATGATAAATGCTGCTGAAATCCTCCATTCCTGGTCTCCACACAGAATCTACTCAGGGCACCGCACACCTGATTCAGCTCTTCAGTCTGTTTCTGACAGGACTGAGACAGGTGTGTTGACCCGCGCTGGAATAAAGTCTTCTGTGAAAATGCCAAACCTCGTCCACTGAGAGTGCGATGAGGGAAGTGTGGGGTGTCCGCAGTGCAAAGCTAGTCGAGCGGGAGTTGCCTTTTTCATGTTTGTTTGTTTTTATGGAACTTCTGTTTTCTCTCTCTGGGCATTTCGTCGGATTTTCATTTCCGTGAGCTGGATGTAACGGATGACGTTTGTGTCTGTTACAAATACATAGACAAAGCGGAAACAGCTGTTTGAACACACAAAATGCAAGCAGGAAGTGTCATGACATTTTGGACATTAATTTATCAGCACAATAACTTTTTCTAGAGAGATGCTGTTTTGGGTTCAGAAGCAACTTGGTGTAAAGAGGTCCTGTTATGCTTTTTTTACACAAACAACTTCCTTTCAAGAGTTCACACTTAGCTGATGATTGATTATAAGCTTGTTTGGCATGCTGTCCTGGGAGAGAGCCCTAAACTCAAAGGATCCTCGAGCCCTGGGCTCCCTCCCGTTTGCAGGGTGAGTCGGGAGTTTGAGCTTAGGTAGATTTCAAAAACTCCCCCACTTTTTTGTGGCTAATGATTAAGACCAGACAGAATCTGCGGACACTTTTTGTTATTTCTGCTGAGAATTTTTTAAATAATCTGCAGTTTTATGTGGAATGATTTTAGCAGTATCATCATAACTAATAACTTAATATATAAAATATATATACATTTTTGTTTGTACTTTTATTTAATGTTTATAATGCAAATCCAATTAGATCCACTTATTTGGTAAACAAAGCAAGTCATATAATAAATCTACTAAAAGACAGAAAGTGTTACTTAACAAACAATAATTAAACCATAGGAACATTTTCATATTACTATTATATCACAATAAAATAACTGAAATGAATTTAAAACCTGAATAAATATTTACACATTTACACAAGTAAATATATAGACTCGATGGACTAAATACCTGGCGAAATTTGCGGATTTCTGCATGCGCAGATTCTGTGTGGGATAACTAATGACGAATTGCTTATAAGGAAAAATACTGTTGGCTAGAAACTTGGCTATGGTGCCAATTTGGTTAAGTCAATTTACTTATGACGGATGTATTTGGATAGTGGGAGGAAACCGGGGAACCCAGGGGAAATACATGCCAACACGAGGAAAACATGCAAACCCCACATTGAAACGACAACCGGCCCTGCGAGCGACATTCTTGCTGTGAGGCAACAGTGCTAACAGTGCTTGCTGTGAGGCTGTCGTGCCGCCCAAAAAAGGGGGTGGAATGGGGGAGGAAAGGGGAATGCTTCAAGAAGATGACTGTGGTATGAAGACTATGGTTATTTCTAGTGATTTAGGAATCGTCTGATTGGAGAGTCTTGTATTAGCTAATTTAGGTCCAGCCGTGTTCAATCATAAGCACGTAATCTGAAATGGCAACTGACCCAGCCGAGGCTTAAACCAGCGACCTTCTTGCTGTAAGGTGACCATTCTACCCACTGCGCCACCGTGACGCCTCCTCTCAAAATTATTTTAGAATTAAACTTCACTCAGTGTTTAATGTTGTTGTTTGAGCATGAAAAAGATCTACAAAGTTCAAATCCAAATAGAGTTACGCTAATGTAAGCACTGTTTCTGGACTCCTGATCTAATATACTGATACACATGTGATTTCTTCTGCATTATTTTATAGTCACTTATCTAACATTATGTGAACTTGTGTATTTTTAAATATCAGGAGATTAACCGCTTAACTGTCACCAGGGGTCATACACAAAATATAAATGTTTTTGTATATATTTTTAACTTTTTTGTCTAAATGTTTTACTAAACCTGAATTTATCTTGACAGACTATATAAAACATACATATATCATTTATAATTTTGAAGCGTGAACTCAAAGGTGACAGTTAAAGGTGCAGTAGGTGATCTGACAAAATGCTAATCGGTTAGCATATTAGCTTTGGGCGGCAGGGGAGAGACTGTGTTTTAAAGCCACGCCTCCTGAAATCGCAAATGCGCGCACAGCGACATGACAGCAGACAACCCACTAGTTCATGTCATTCGCCAGTTAGAAGTGTATGTAGTGGTTGGCCCGGCGGTGGCAGGAATTACACTCATTACTAAGCCATACTTGCATGCTATTTCAGAGTGAATATTCAGAGTAGCAGTGAACAATACCGGGAGCGTGTCACAGGCTGTCACTGTTTAGAAGTTACCCAATGTGAATAAAAAAGCAATTTCAGCTCAGTAAAGCAGGCTAGGCGGAATAGCACTATTTACTGATGTTTTGTTGTCAAATTAAATATAAATCTACATTATCGATGCTGTAAAAGGCCCTTATGAAATTGAAAACAGTCTCATCAATCGTTCGCCGGAGGATTTCAGTGGCTGAACAACACGTCATGCATGTAACGTTAACCCATTTGTAACAACAACATCTGAATCAGCTCTTCGTGACTCAAAGTGTTTAAAACAGGAATACTTCAGCCATGGTGTCGTCCTCCCTTCAGCGTCCAAAAGTAACTCCAGTATTAATTCAGAAAAGTTTCTAATTAATTAAAAAGTTGCTCATCTAAGCGTACACGCATGGCACTCATGCAGGCGGGCACATGCTAATGGCAGATATCCGTGAAAAGACCAAATCTGCAAAAGACCAAATCTGCATTTGTTGACAGCCAGTTTGAGCTACTGACCTGAATTATGGGAGATGTCAGCCTGACAACAATATTAAATTGGATGAACATTTTTTTGTTTTATAACTTACCCAGAATATAAAAATACATATAAACACATTTAGATCATTTACTGTAATTATTACTGTTGGACTGTGAAAAGGCTTTTAACCAGCACATCAAAACATGTGTCTGAAGACAATCACCTACTGGCGGCGTAGTGGCGCAGTAGGTAGTGCTGTTGCCTCACAGCAAGAAGGTCGCTGGGTCGCTGGTTCCAACCTCGGCTCAGATGGCGTTTCTGTGAGGAGTTTGCATGTTCTCCCTGCGTTCGCGTGGGTTTCCTCCGGGTGCTCCGGTTTCCCCCACAGTCCAAAGACATGCGGTACAGGTGAATTGGGTAGGCTAAATTGTCCATAGTGAATAAGTGTGTGTGTGTGGATGTTTCCCAGAGATGGGTTGCGGCTGGAAGGGCATTCGCTGCGTAAAAACCTGCTGGATAAGTTGGCGGTTCATTCCGCTGTGGCGACCCCGGAATAATAAAGGGACTAAGCCGACAAGAAAATGAATGAATGAATGAATGACAATCACCTACCGCACCTAATGGTAGTGCCAGGAATCAAATCCAAAAAGAGTCGATTCAGAGGCATTGAACATCAAGATTTAATTTCAAAGTTTGAGAGTTTATTACCTTATAAACAGCTATAATATACATGCTGAAACTGAATTAAAGCCCAAAACAGAAGGTTTTGAGCTCCACTCTGAAAACATAAGCATGATAAAAAACGAGAAAGTTTTTATCTTATTTTTGTTTCATATGAAATTCTACTTTACTTTTTCTTTAGAAGAAGTTAAAGCTATACAGATGTATTTCTTTTGTTGCCAGAGTAATGAAGTCACAGGCTGTAAAGCCACAACTCTCTTCTGGAAAGTGGTGGGTACCCGGAACTCATTTGCATTTAAAGAGGTGTACAGTATATTGCATGATAAATGTGTATTTTAAAACGGCACAGACTCATTCTGGAGGCACCTGAGGCATTTATCTTGTAAATAAGCACAACAGGATCACTTTAATTGTAAAATGGATATTGACTGGCTGAGCTGACTATGACCTTTTAACATTAGCATCATTGTTATTGCATATGCGTGTTGCTCATCAAACACTGTTAACAATTACATTGCTTAACAAGCAAATAATTACTTGTCAGTAAATTACTTTTTATCACTGTGTATTTAGCTAAATATTCTCCAAATATCTCAATTTTTCATATTCTTTTTTATGCAATCCACAGGCAACTGGATACTTTTGTGTTACCCTCTACTATATTCTGTTTTTGTTGTTTTGTTTTAGTTAGATTTGACAGATTTTTAGGCTTCTGCAGTCCTCAATTCGACAAATACTGGTGTAGCGTTTCAGAGTTTGATGTGACTGACCTGTGGGCTGTTGCTTGTGTGACTCCTTCAGGTAGTGCAGGGCTTTGTTGAAGTCTCCCAGATGATAATACGCCACACCAGAGCGATACAGAGCTTTAAAATTCTCGCCCTCCTTTCTCAAAACCTTCAGACAGTACTCTTTCACTCGTTCATAATTCACCAGCTCCATCTGCAACAAACAAGCTGCATGCAAACAGACAAAATCAACTGCACCCATGTAAAACTTACCATTTCAGCTTTTTAAGAAACATTTCTCAGTGCTTATATGAAATATAAATATTATATATGGCAGGTAATCTAGACAAACCATGACGTCATTCTAAATGCAGAATTTACTCACAAATTACTTTTATTAAGGAGTTAAAGGGCCAAATCGCAGTGTTTGCCATTCAAGACTCTGTTTAAGTGCTAATATGAATATTATATTACAGTGAGGTGCTCATCTTCAGCCTTAAGCACGTGGAATACATAGAAAGCGGTGACTTGATTGAAATACTGCTTTTCATGTGGTGAAACACGATGTTCCCACCTGCCAGACTGTTGTAGCACTCCAGCTCCGCGTTCTCCACCGCGCCTTTCTGCTCGTCCGTCAGACTGGATTTACTGATGGCAGTCAGGACGGTGGACGGAGACTTGCTGGTGTCCGGGTCCCCGAGCACGCGACACAGACCCTTCATTTCCAGCAGCGCGCGGTGGTACTTGCCGATGGCCTCGCGGTATTTTTTGTCCTTGTAGCACTGTGTGCCCTGCGTTTTAAAATCCAGGGCTCGTTTGACCAGCTCCGCGGGCTCGTTTTGGGGCTTTACCATCGAGCCGCTCTGGTGGGGCTGGTGCTGCGGGTAACGCGCGTCTCCGCGACTCCGGCCACCGGGAGGATGCACGACGGTGGAGTTCGCGTTGCCGCTCATGACGCTCATAGTACCGCTTCCCTTACGTTGTATCATAGCTTCAAATCAATTGTGAATTCAATAATTCCCTAAAAACGAGCCTCGCGTGCTTCCTCCTCTTTGCGCGTTTACATGCCTTTACGGTTCCTTTATTTAAAGATGGATTCCCGGATGATTCACACACACAGTACTCTCAATTTTCCCTCTTTCCCTCTCCTCCTCTTTTTTTCAGCAGTCTGACGGAAGGAACGGACAGACACGTCTTGCTCTCACAGAATGACTCAAAAGGGAGCGAGCGACGAGCGCGCGCATCAATAAGCTCCAGCGCCCGCGGTGCCCTGAAGAAATGCGGTCATCACGAATGGAGCGCGGTAACCGGTCTGTCAGCCCCCCTGCGCGAGCTCCCGTTTCCATTGAAATCCAGCTGAGCGCAACTCAGCCGTTAACAAACGCGTTTCACTGGCTCAGACCACGATTTCATGTGACGTAACTGTACTGGCCACAGAAAAACAGCTGCTGGAGGACACTGAAAGAGCTGTTTAAACACTGTCCGTGCTTTTGATCCTCCCTTAATTCAGAGGGCCTGTTCTACTCTCTTTCATTATACCTCCAGCAAAGTTATTGTTAACACACATTGCTTTATCTAAAAAGTAATTGTGACCATCTCCGTAATTAGATGCATCCTTTTGGGAACAGTCCCACAGGTGTGTGCGTGTGTGTGTGTGTGGCGGCTTGTACAGCTGTTGTGTCTGGGTGTGTCGTGATTGCGGTAAATCGTGCTGGGTGGGGAATTCTGCTTTGCTCAGTCAGTCTGTCATTTTCTTACACACAAACACGTGCATTTTACATCATTTACATGTACATATGCATGAACATGGAGTTTTGTGCTTTCTTTCTTTCTTTCTTTCTTTCTTTCTTTCTTTCTTTCTTTCTTTCTTTCTTTCTTTCTTTCTTTACTGGTTCCATCTGATGAATAGATTCTGTTTATTGAATTATATAAACCACATTCTATCAATTTCAGCTTTTAGATTGCTAGATGGTTATTATTAATGATATCCAATAGTTAAGTGACTTTTTTGTGTCAGTGAAAGGGGTGGTACTTTTTTGTCTCAAAAACTGGACCTTTCTGCAGGTATTAGCCTCATTTTCTATTTAATCATGAGACTTAAAAACTGCATTTTAGTGTCATTTTAAACACTATTTTAGCTGGATTAGCTTGTCGGATGGTCATAATAACAGTTTTTTATGTATCAAAAAAAATCCTAAAGATTTATAATATAAAAAATGAATAAATACTTATTTTTAAAATACAAATGTTCTACATCATATCTGAGAAAAATTTAAAATCAAAAACTGTAGCCCATTGTCATTTATTATAGGCAAATAACAAAATGGCCTGCACATTCGACTTACCTCAGTCACAATTAGGCTATTTGAATGAAAAATTGAATGAAAAATTAATAAACACATAATAAAACTAATGTAGATCTTCACGATATGTCTTGCCTCTCTTGTAAAAATAAAAGTACATTTGAAAATTTGTGCATAACAAAAATAGCCAAAACAGTATTCAAATAAATTTTAATATGGGCTGCTTTTGGTGCTTCATGGTCATTTTTGTTTTAAGATTTAGTTCCAAAATTATTAATAAAAATCAATAAAATAAAATATTTTCTTGATTTAAAAACAACACAGGAGCAAAAGTCAGATAGTAAAAAGAAAATATTTGTTAGCACTGGCCAAAATGGATTAGATGAAATCCCAGAAGACAGAGGCTTCTTCGATGGGTTATTTTCAATATTTATGATGGTATAGCAGTCAAAATAGGACAAATGAGCTCATGTATGGGACATATTCTGGACCTTTGTCAGTGAGGGGTGGGTCTTCCAAACCCCCCTGGCTATGGGCCTGTATAGTCTCAATGTAGCTCATCTTGAGTACCCATTAGTAACAGCACCAAACATACATGCTACATGCATGCTACATGCTACATCTTTCCACCAGAAAAAAAACATACAAAAATAAACAAAATTAATAGTATGATTATTGATACATAAAAATAATCTGAAATTACTTAATAATTTATTAATTTTCTTTTCGGCTTAGTCCCTTTATTAATCTGGGGTCACCACAGCGGAATGAACCGCCAGCTTATCCAGCACATGCAGTGGATGCCCTTCCAGCTGCAACCCATCACTGGGAAGCATCCACACACACTCATTCACACATATATGGACAATTTACATACCCAATTCACCTATAGCACACGTCTTTGTTTTTGTGGGGGAAATGGGAGCACATGGAGGAAACCCACGCAAACATGGGGAGAACATGCAAACTCCACATAGAAATGCCAACTGACCCAGCCCAGACTCGAGCCAGCGACTTTCTTGCTGTGAGGCATTCGTGCTACCCACTTTATTAAAATGGTAAGCATTCACCAGCTCAGCCAACCATTTTTTTCTAGTCGTCTCCAGGACATAACTGAATTTTCTTTTTCTAATTTTTTTTTCACAAATTTTCTTTAAAGGTTCAGAGTTGTACCATATTCTTTAAAAGTTGCAGTATGTTTAAGAAGAGATATAGCTCTGAAAAATCTCTGAGATTCAACAAAGGGAATGAAAATCAGGTCATTTGCCATTAATGATGTTTTTACATTGAGGACTTAATTTATTCTCTTGCATGTTGTAAAGTGAGCATTACCCTTGATTTGACTAAATCCAGCTTGCTGAAGGAATGTTATTGCCATCTCTTGGTGAAAGATTTGTGGCATTTGAGCCTGATTTGCATTGAAGTTGTAGATTTTGAATGTGAAGCAAGTGGATTTAGAATTTAATAGTCTTTTTCTGGATTTTTATAGTTCTATTTTTATTTGCAGGCGTTTATTTGTGTCGTTCATGCTGCACTGCACTGCACTTCACTCATTGGATATTTTTGCAGACTTTTGCCTGCAGGGACTCTGATGGGTATTTGTGCCATCTGATGATTTCTTCTCGTGATAATGTTTCAGCAAATGTAGTTTTAATTAGATCCAAAGGCATATTTTCCTATTCTAAAAATGGCTTTAATGCTTTTGTTTACTGGGTCTTTTTAAGAATGTAATTAGTTTTGTCCAAACTGAGTCCTTTAAAATCCAAATGTTGTTTGCAGTGTGTGTGTGTGTATTTGACTGAAAACTTGTAAACTGACAATAATGAGAGCCAAAATATTTGCTAGTAAAGCATGATGACTTTATTAGACTTTCCCTAATAATTTAGCCGATATTATTATTGGCAACTAAAAATACATGATATCATTGTTTTAGAGGTGTCACGGTGGTGCCGTGGGTAGCACGATCATCTCACAGCATGAATGTCGCTGGTTTGAGCCCCGGTTGGGTCAGTTGGCATTTTTTGTGTGGTGTTTGCATGTTCTCCTTGAGTTGGTGTGAGTTTCTTCTGGATGCTCTGGTTTCCCCCACAGCCCAAAGACATGCGCTATAGGTGAATTGGGTAAGCTAAATTGTTTGTAGTGTATGTGTGTGAATGGGAGTGTATGGGTGTTTCCCAGTGATGGGTTGCAGCTGGAAGAATACCCGCTGCATGCGTAAAACATATGTTGGATAAGTTGGTGTTTCATTCCGCTGTGGCGACCCCCAATTAATAAACGAACTAAGCCAAAAAGAAAATGAATGAATGAATGAAAGCATAATGACTTTATTAGACATTCCCTAATATTGTAGCCTATACCATTATTGGCGAATAAAAATACATAATGTTGTTGTTATAAAATGTAAAATAGCATACAATCCTGTAATAAAAAACAATAGAATAATTATACAAACATTATTAAATGAAGTTTCCTATTATGGCATGTGGCTACTGCACAATACACTTATAAAACAGCATTAATTAAATGAAAATATTTCAATGAAAATCATTATGTTTTAAGGATTTGTTTTCAAATATATATTATGATCAATGAAACAAATAGTTGTACATAATGGCTTAGTGGCCGTAATAATAACAAATGCTCCAATATTCATATTATTGGTTTCTAAATTTCACAATGGTGGTGACTTTAAAGTCAAACTGAAATGAAATATATTCCATAGATAATTTCATAACTGAAAAGATGTAATGATTATATAATTAATATGATGATGCGAAAGTATCAGTGCAGGGTGCTAATTACAGGGGGGGTTGCTTTCAACCCCTCAAATTAACGCTTTATCCCTCTTTAGGACATCAAAACAAGATGTATGTTTGGGGTCATCCCTTTAAAAGTTTCAAAATTAGCTTTCTGAAATATTAATAATTAGAAATGTATAATATAAATATACATTTGACCAACCCCGCCCCATAATGGTTCCACTGTGATGCATTAAATCACGCCAACAATGGTAGGAAAAATATCATTCAACAGTCTGAAACGGGCAGTTCTAGTATCTTAGGTATTCACATAACACGTTTCTTGTAAAATAGGTGTTCATATCTGCGTGTAGCCTATAAAATTATAATTAGACATAATTTGTATAGTTCGACCGACAGTAACCTCTAAATTAGTCACTAAATATCTCTCAAAACACTGAAAACATGATATTTTATAATGAAATCAACGTTAGAAGTAATTTAAATACATTCATAAGTTTGATTAACTGAAGCATGTATTAGCAAACTACACCCCCGCAATCGTCAAAGTAGTTATATTTCGCACACTGTATCAGTATATCCTGTTTTGTATATCCTGTATAGCCGAACTTGATCTATAAAAAAATTAGAATAGTATATTTACTATTTTAAGGATGTTTCCGTCGATGTAGTAGATTAAATAACTGAAAATACCGCGTCATAGACTGTCGACGTTGAATAGGCGTCATCATTCTGCGCCTTTCTGCCAAGATGGCGACGGTGGATTTAAGAGGTAGTTCATCACAAATGTCACAAACTATTTTACTACCGTGTTTTATTTTTTGACGGCTCAATTCTTGACAGATCTCTTTCCGCATCAAATCGCATAGCTTTATATGTAATAAATATATAAAAGGATATAAAAAGGTTAGCTTTGATAATGCAATTGCCGCTGTTGACTTGCCGCTGTTGTTTGTTGAAGGAAGCGGATATATCTATTATACTATATATGTGTTTTGTACAACGTTTTTTTTCATTATATATATATATATATATATATAATTATTTTTTTTTTGTTGACTGACGTATTCTTATTCTAATATTGGATATGTGTTTGTCAGATAATCTGCTGGGCATCTCATGGGTGGACAGCGGCTGGGTGCCTATCCTGAACCCCAGCAATGTCTTGGAGTATTTCTCCGAGAGGAGCAATCCCTTCTATGATCGCACCTGCAACAACGAGGTGGTCAAAATGCAGAGATCAACCCTGGATCACCTCACGTAAGTGTCGGACTATGCAGCAGTGATGGAAAGAGAAATGAAAAAGCATGCTTAAGTAAAAGTACAATTACTTTTGTCAAAAATGTAGTGCAGGTAGAGTAAAATTACTTGTAAATATTCTTCAAAGTATGAGTAAAAAGTAGCCATACAAAAATATATTTACAAGTAGTGATTTTGTCGATTATTTATGAAAACATAACATTTTGTAGAGATTTTAGTAGTTATTAAAGGCCATTTGGTGATTTTAGTCCTCATACAGTAGACATATTCATTGTCATCTCTCTGTCATTATGTGTAAAGATTTTGTGTCTTCTTGGACCGATTTAATTCCTCCACATAGTACATGTTTGCTGCATTTATAAAGTGCCTGTGTCTTGAGGTTGTTATGTATGATTCAATTTTTTTACGCATGATTTTATTGGATGGGAATAACAAGACTGATTAGTTTACTTCGCCAATAAAATATAAATAAATATCAGTAAAAAATAGTGACTGCAGGTTTAAGGAAAATAGTGGAGTAAAAGTACAAATACAGCACTAAAATTTAGTCAAGTTAAAGTAAAAGTAGACATTTCCAAACCAAAGTAAAGTATAATTCCTGAGAAAAACCACTCAGTTACAGTAATTTGAGCATTTGTAATGTTACTTTACACCACTGTTATGCAGTTAAAAATATTGAGGTATATTGAGTTGATTTAGTATTTGCGCATTCAGACTTTTACCTTTTTCATATAATTTCAGAAAAGTTTCCTCTCAAATTCTAAATAAGGACATCATATTAGCATCCAATGAAAATCAAAGTACAACATTGTTCACAGTCAATTAAGTAGAACTAATGTTGTTTTGAAGACATACTTGCATGCAATCCAGACCCAATATTAAAGTAGTCCTAGCACAAATTGTCACTGTTCCAAAATGATCGAAAGTGCAAATATAAAACCTCAATGTTAAATATAAAACCTCTATGTTAAAAACCCAGTTAAGCGTATAGTAGATTCAAAAGGTGGATATTACAGTCACTGTCAATTGTTTTGTTTCCTAACTGATTAAATCAAAAACTTGTGTCATTTGTCTGCTTGTTTGATTTGTGTGTCTGTAGTCAGCTGGTGGGTGTGGAATATATTTTGCTTCACACTCAGGAGCCTATTCTGTACATCATCCGAAAGCAGCAGAGACAATCACCAACACAAGGTGAGATTTGCACTGCTCCTCAGTATCTTTGTGGTTATTTTTACTTTTATAATTATTATTATTAGACGACATGGCTGTTGAATGCTTTATTTTGATTGGCTGACGAACATTCTAAGGTGTTATTAAAACAATTTTCAGATGAACAAGCATAGCTAAAGTAGTTCCAGGCAGTTTTTGAACACATTACAGGTCCATGTCACTTTGCTTAATGATTTTAGATATTTCACAGCCCACAACTGGCAAAAATCTTATCAGAAGGCTTTTAATGAGATGCGTAAGAAACTAGTTCTACACATAGGAGCTGTTTGAGGACAAAAAACTTAAACAGTGTTTTAGGTGTGGTAACTAGTCTAAGCAGTATGATTGACTTTGTTTAATTGGTCCATTGAATTATTAGAAAATACTGCACACCTGTGGTTTAAAGGCCAATTCGCTTTACTTTGTGGCTGCATCACCACATTTTTCTGATAATTCAACAGCTCACCGTCAGTTATGCTTTATTTAAGGGGCCTGCATTGTAGTTGTGTACATAATAATTGTGATGTTGACTGACTTGCAAACAAAGTCAAGAAGATTTTGACCTGGTGCTTAAAAAGGACCTTTATTGGAATACATTTAAAAGCATAGAATTAGCAATCATAATTATTTTATAAATGCATCAATGTAAATGTTATTTGCAAATGCAATACTTTTGCATCTTACAAAAAATCATTAAAACATAGCAATTTATTTATTGCTGAATAAAATAGTTTAGTTTTTTTAAACCAGTAAATTTAATTCAAACAAAATGTTCAAATAAAATATGTACATTGTAGGAAGTCATGAATGTTTTCTCACAAACTGCTCACCTATTGGCAATAAAAAACGATTAATGTAATATATTTCCTACATATAGCCCCTCTAATTGTGTTGAGCTGCTGTGTAATGCTAATAATATTTAAATTAATCATTTGAAGAATTCTTTGAATCCAATTTAAATTTCAGGTACGAGCTTATGTACTTTGTAAATTAATACATTTTTATTTTATCGTATTTTATTTTTAAAAACTATAGAAAACAAGTCATGAATTGCTGTTTTTTCATGGTGGATTAAAATAATAAAAGTCGTATAACTGAATTTACATTTCACACATGCAAATATTTTTTTATGTTTTGTTCCCTTTTTGCAGTGATCCCTCTTGCTGACTACTATATCATAGCTGGCGTGGTGTATCAGGCTCCTGACCTGGGATCTGTAATCAGTTCCAGAGCGGTGCGTTCATATCCTTAAAACCTTCTCTCTCTTTTTTTTTATCAGTTTGAACATTAATATATGTCTATGTTGATGTGTGTGTCAGCTTTCAGCGGTTCACGGGATTCAGTCTGCGTTTGATGAAGCCATGTCCTTCTGCAGATACCACCCGTCCAAAGGGTACTGGTGGCATTTTAAAGACCAGGAAGAGAAAGGTGAAATTGCATACAGTTGAGCCTGTGATGATCAATCCTTTTTAGGGTGCAATTGATTGTTACAGAACTAATGGTGAAAAGATATATGATATTATTGTCTTTTGAGACCATTTTATGCCACTCGTATAATGATTATACAACAGCAAAATAATAAACAAACAATTAGTGTACAAATAAGCTTAAACAATTTCAGTAGAAAAATGGTTATTCCTAAAGCTTTTATAGCAGGGAAAGTAAGTACTGAACACATTATAATTTTTCTCAGAAAATATATTTCTGAAGGTGCTGTTGACTTGAAATTTTGTTGTTGAAATCTAATAAGTTTACAAATTAAGTTATGCGTAATGAAATTGAATGATGTTGGGAAACGTATTGAACACATGAAGAAAGGGAGGTGTAGAAAGACAGCGAAAGCCCAGACAGCAGATGAAATCTCTCAGTAGTTATTTAGCAACCCTCTGCCCTTCGTCAGTGTAAATGAATATGAGCTGCTTCAGTTCAACATCTACATTAGCAGGAGGATGAAGATGAAACCAGGATGGACATTTCAGCAAGGCAATTATCCAAAACACAGCCAAGGAAACTCTCAAATGCTTTCAGAGAAAGAAAATCAAGCTGTAGAATGGCCTAGTCAAACACCTGACTTGAAGGAAATACAAAATAAAGATCAGATTTGATATACGAGACCCACAGAACCATCAAGATTTTTACACTGTTGAGGTCTGTGAAAAAACTCGCACCTAAACAATGCATTGTGCATATTAGGGGCATCTTTAAGTCGCCATCACCAAAAAAGCCTTTTATGTAAAGTATTAATTACATTTAAATAGTTCAGTACTTTCCCCTTGTCATTTCATTATTAAACAACTAATTTTTCAGATTTTATTGTTTTGTTTTATTTTTATGTTTGTATTGTTTGGGTTTTTACCAAAATCTGTTCAATTCCATGTCAACAGCTCTTTTAAAAACATTATTACCAGAAAAAAACATGATGTGTTGCATTTTTATTTCCCCCGCTGTAAATGTAAGAAATAAAAAACAATAAACTTTGACATTAGTCATATAGTGTGTAAATGTCCATATAAAATTCACACTTTTTTGTGTTATTTGTGAATGTGTGCCATTTTGCTTATGAGGAAGTGGATTTCAGTTTTAAAATGGAGATTCCTCCAACCCGTCAGTTTTTTTTTCAGGAAAATTGCAGTCTTCAGGTGTCAATAAGAATTGTGCTGAAACCTCTAACAGAGTATAGATGAGATAAAAGAGGCTGCATAATGAGCTAAAATGTTGGTAACTTTAATTTTACTGCAAACGTGATAGGCGATGTATATTACATTATTAAAATGTATTAATGCTATATCCATGTATTGTGAGTTAAATTGATATATTGATTATTGTGACAGACTTACACATGCACACAGACAAATGCAGCAGGAAGTATCCATCATCCATGTCCCTGTTAAAAACTGCTGACTTTCGTGTGTGTGTGTGTGATTTATAGAAAGAGTGCACATGCACACATGCACACAGACAAATGCAGCAGGAAGTATCCATCATCAATGTCCCTGTTAAAAACTGCTGACTTTCGTGTGTGTGTGTGTGATTTATAGAAAGAGTAAAGCCGAAATCGAAGCGGAAAGAGGAGCCGAGCTCTTTGTTCCAGAGGCAGAGAGTCGACACGCTGTTACTGGACCTGCGCAATAAATTTCCCCCAACCTTCTATCAGGTATTACTAATATTTACATGACACATCCTAAACTGCTTTCTGGATGAAACTAGAACATCAAATTCTGATTGTATTCTCACTGATATTATGTCTGTTTCAGACCAAGCCAGGAGAGAAGCCTGTTCCAGGTATGGAAATACTTCACCTTATTACACACTACAGATGTTTTGTAAATGCTCTGATTATGTGTATTTATTGCTCAGTCTTGTGGGGAAAACAATGAAAAATGTGTAACATCTGCTACATATATATGTATGAAGTGTTTTTTAATTATTGTTTTTTTATATAGTCTGCATTTGCAGATGATTTCTCATAATAAATGGGCATATGTAGAATTTAGCTACAACCATTGGTGTTAACTTCACCATATGAACATGATTTAATGCAACAATATATCACATCAAAGTTATTGTTTTTTCTGTCATTGATTAGAAATAAAATCAAGTTGGCTCCTAATTGTGGCATTATCCTGAACATTAAAAGCATCGATTCATCGATCATAGAATGGAAAAAACATTTTCTCACTAAAGATGTTGGTCTCTTCAAATAAAAATCCAGGTTTTCAAGAAAAATTAAGTTTTGTCACAAACTGTTTACATATTGGCAATAAAAAGTGATGATATAGTTTAGATTTTTACATGTGGCCCCTTTAAGTGTTCTAAATGCTGTGTACTAATCTTTCAATTAATCATTTGTTGAAATACTTGCATATACCTCCCCAGTAAGATATTTAATGCTAACTGTATTCTGCTTTAAAGGTTAAAAAATGTTCCCGGATAGAACATTAAAAGAAGAATACTGTACATAACTTACCAATTTTTTTATGCAAGTTGATGTTGTATTGTCTTGCATTTTTAAGTAATTTAATCATACAATGTGTTGCAGTATATTTGAAAATGTCTGTTTGTATTGAAGAAAGGAAATATCTCTTTCTCTATCTGTTCATAGTGGAGGTTAAAAAAGAGCCAGAAGTGCCTGTTGAGACGGTGAAGCCTCAAGAAGAGCGAGAGACGAAACCTCCAGCTCCTCCTGCACCTCCACGGCCTCCACCACAAACTACACCCAACAAACCTCCACCTGAGAAGCGTGCTCGTGTACAGTAACAAACACCTGCAGCCACAAAACATCAATGCTAAGGGACTGACTGATGTTCAGACCTGTGGACCGTTCTCTGCAGCAGCTCACTGAGGGTGGACTGTTACGGTTATTGTACATACAGGACTTTCTTCAAGACTTTTCTTCTTTACTTCAATTGTTTTTGTAGTTAGGAAACTGAAATATGTTTCATATCTGTATGGCCTTTTCTGTATTTCAGTGTTTCTGGGTTGTAGTATTATGCCATTGTATTAATCGGAGTGAAAAGTCATTTTTCACATCTTGTTTGCAGTGTTTGTCATAATGCATATAGTCTACAGACTTTTCTGATGATTAAAAGAGTATTTGTATGTCCTTTGTAAGTGATTTGATAACTATGTAATTGACTACATAATCAGGGCCAGATTTATCTTTTTTTTTTTTTGTTACGTAGGCAACGGAAATTTATGAGCATATGCGTAAACTCGGCCCTGTATAATGTAATTATGCTATGGAGATTATATAGTGCGCAGCGCGCTCTTGTGTACAGACGTGGACGCGCACCTCTTGCGCTTCTGCGTGGACGTGAACTGCGTTCTCCATTCAGTACACTAAAAACAGACTCATAGCCAGCAGATATGTTCTAATGAGAATTGAGTTTTATTCATATAACAGTGACAATTAGCTCGACCCAAATACTGCCACCCCTGACCTAATTTATTCCACCTGAATGCGCACAGTAACCGCGCTTACAGTACGAACACATAACGGTACGACACATTCATGTTTTTCGTTGAATATTTCAGTGTTGTGTATTTTTTATCATACCAAACTACGAATATCCAGAGGACTTGTCTATTTATTTAATAATGTATTTAGGTAAACAGGTTGCCAAAAAAATCACAGCGCTTTTACTAGTATCGCCCCAGATGTTTTTTTTCGTCGATACTCGTGTTGGCCGCTCGGCGGCGCTGCAGAATAACCTGAATATCTGGCACGCGCAGCGCCACTCTCTGCGCGAGCTGTACGCGAGCTGCCGGGGCCGCGCAGAGCACGATGGGAAGGGAAGCGCAGCGCTGGAGGACCACAGAGAAGAAGATGGCTGCGACGGGGCTCGACGGGCCAACGCTGTATCTCCTGCTCCGAGACGGCTAGAGAGGGGATAGGCGGTAAAAATGGGGTCGCAGACCCTGCAGATCCTGCGACAGGGCGTGTGGGCGTCGGTGACGGGCGGATGGTACTACGACCCCCACCAGAACACCTTCGTGAACGCTCTTCACCTTTACCTGTGGCTGCTGCTGCTCTGCCTCCCGTTCACGCTTTACATGGTGAGAGATGTTCACCTCTTCTGTCCATCCTTCAGCCTTTATCCTGCCATATCTGACACCTACATCTCTTTATCTTTTCCTCATTCTTCATGCATCTCTCTCTCTGTGTCTATCATCCCTGCTCCTCTAGCTCATCTCTCCGTTTCCAGTACACACAGACTGCATTTCCTATAATATTTATTTATTCATCTCTCCTGAAGGGTTTTCAAGATCACAGAAATTCTAGAAATATCATGGAATTATAATTCCCAGACCCCAAGAGGTCAAGCTAATTTCTGCATTGTTGTTCTGCTTGTGGTCAACACAATGACATTTCACTGCTTATAAATTGCGTTACGTTAATGTCATTTCTGTAACTTTCTCATTTTAAACAAACATTATTTACACACTAATGTAAAAGTGTTGATGAATTGTAAATCTGGGAGAGCTCTTACAGTGAAAAAGCTCTTTAGTCTGTTTTTGGAAACAACTTTATTACCCAGGAATCGATCAGGGTCTGCATTGTTTTGGTGTTTGACATAATTTTTGTAGTATTTTAAACCTGCTGTCATGAGGTTTGTTGTGTGTTCTCACTTTGGTCTTTCTAGTTCAGCCAGATATGCAAATCATGTCATTATTTACTGACCCTCATGCCTGACCAGATTAATATGACTGACTTGCTTCTGTGGAACACAGATAAAAATTTGCATAAATACACTGAGACAGTTCTCACCATACACTAAAATGCACAACAATGTCATTGAAAAACAAAACAAAAGAGAGGTTAAAATATTAAAATGGTATAAAAATCAAACATTTTAATCACGTAAACACTCATTTACAGTCTATAGAATCCATTTTCACAACAGATAACCTTTGATACAAATGATTACGTAATTTAAGCTGAATTGTCAGCGTCATATGATGCTTTAGAAATCATGTTGTTGTTTTGGTGTTGATCAGTGTTGAAATCCTGATACATTTTTGAGCCTTCCATATTTTTTTAGCAATGCATTTTGTGTTTTTATTGTTTTGATCTAATCAGAATTAATCAGCAACTCTCAAAACAGCAACTGTGAGTTCTAATCAGTGATTTTAGACTCATCAGAATAAACCAAACATGCAATTAAATCAGTCATTCCCACGCACACATTGGGCGTTTGTTTATTCAACATCTCAGCTAATATATAATGCTTTCCACCACCAGTGAAATGCTCTCAGCTGTTTTTCACATCTTTAAACCAGTTTCACAAAACCCCACCATCGTTTCATTCCAAAAGCATTGCATCTTTACCATACCAGCTCCGGCACAACAAAATCCCTCCTCAATGTGAAACATTATACTCCTGTTTGCAATCTATTTATAAAAAGAGACTTGTAATAGTCGTCATGCGTATTATTTTTAAAGCCATGCAGCCGTTATGTGGCCACGATAGATCCTGATGCCACTCAATCCATATTTAACTTGCACAGATCCATCCATCAGTGTTCTGCTTGAACACTTTATTGCCTTTTAACCACTGATAAACAATATCAAGTCCGTCAGTAGCACAGTTTATCAATAAGAACCTAATCTATGTGCTTTTTAATATGTATTTGTGTGATGCTCAGGACAGTGTGGGTTTGGGGTGCTGTATTACAGACACAGATGTCCGCTTATTTCCAGGCTGTTTTTAGCTTCTACCCTCCGGTTGTAACTGAAATATTGTTGCCTTTATTTTCGTATCCCTGTAACTTTGTATAACACGATACTATATTTAAATAAGATATTTATAAAACAGAAGGATGCTAATTGGCTGGGATTTGCAAGCGTATCATACCCCCCTGTGCCTCGGTTTGCTTTTATGTCAGGATTTGAAATGCTTTGGCAATTTTATTGAATCCCAGATGGTTAAAAACAATCAATAATAGATCTAATGATTGTACGCCACTGTTCAGTTCAGTTGTGGCTGGTGAGATTTTTATGCATTGATAGGAAGGAAAACAATGAATCAATAATAGATGTAAAGATTGTTGTACACAGCTGTTCAGAAGTATTTTTTATGCTCACCAAGGCTGCATTCTATATAACAAAACACTGTTATTGTAAATTATTGTTGTTATACATTTAAATATACAGCTGTATGCAAAAAAAAAGAAACCACTTGAAGTTCTTGGTTTCTCTGCATTTATTATTTATAGTTAATGCATTTTGTTTTATTCTGTAAAATACTGATGAGATTTGGGAATTTGTTTTAATGGTCTAACATTGTGCCCTTACAACATGCGCCGCGACAAGATTCCAGCAACAAGCTATTTGGCCGTTTGCAACAAAAGCTATGTGACATGACAGAAACATTTAAATACAATTTAAATACACACTCAACAAAAAGGTAAAGGCTTTAATCTAATTAATACATATTAAACATATTAAAATTATTAATGGGCTACTGAGTGACTGATGGTGTTGGTGTGCACTGAATCACAGTTGTAAGTCTGACTTTCATTTTCAAACAGTCTGCTAGTTATTTTATTTTCATGATCTCCTGCAGCTTTCAGTACTATGGCAATAATTGTCACCTTAAATGATGACATTGAATTTGTTTAACTTGAATATAGCATAAAATCTATACCCGAGGTTATCATTGTCATGGTAATATATTGTAATTGTTCTGGCACAATGTCATGGGAATACAAAAGTTTTCTAAAATAGACATTTGTTGACATTTTTCTTATTTGTCAAAAAATGCTACTCTCACAGATGGTGAGAACAAAAATTCTTGTCACCGCGTCGTGTGTAGTTAGGACATGGTGTTAAAGACAATATTTTGATCTGTAGTTTGGAAGAAATGTTATCTGAACTCAATAGATTTCTTTTATTATTTTACTCCAATCCAAACATAATAAACAGTTTGATTTGGATTTCATAAAAAAATTCCTCTGAGACATTTCTCAACATACTATTCACTAAAATGCGCAGCAATGTCATAGAAAACAACAAACATTTATGGTTTTTAAGAGAAAACACTAAATGGTTAAAAAAACAATACATTTTAATATTCTAAATAACCATGAACAATGTAAAGAATTAGTTTTGACTACAGTTGACATTTGATTACATTCATTCATTCATTCAATTTCATTTAGCTTAGTCCCTTTATTCATCAGGGGTCACCACAGTGGAATGAACCGGGAACTTATCCAGCATATGTTTTACACAGCGGATGCCCTTCTAGCTGCAACCCAGTACTGGGAAACATTTGATTACATACAAATCATTATAATATTTATTGCCTTAGTGTTAGTTTCATACAGTCTTTTAGAAATCATGCTGTTTTGGTGTCGATCAGTGTTGAAATACAGACCTTTTTTTTACATCTCCATTCCTAATAAATCCAGTGAAATTAAGAACTTTCAAGTGAGCTCTTTAAGTCTTTCCATAGTGTGTTGTTCTATTTTAATGTAGATTATTTCTGTAATGGCTAGATGGAATTTTTTTTAACAGTCATTACTCCAATCTTTAGTGTCATATTTCAGTAAAAATATTTTAAAATGCTGCTTAAGATTTTTTTTTTCTATTACAGGGTATCTGCGGGGGCCTAAAAAGTTTTAAAATGTCTTAAATCTCTAAAACTAAAATTTAAGCCTTAAAAAGTCTTGTTGTTGTCTTGTGTTGTAGGTCTCAAATCTGTATTTTAATTTTCTTAATTTTATTATTATTGTAGACTAAAGTAATGTACAGCTATGTTTTGTTCTATTGGTAAGGGTTATAAGGTTTGTGAATGGATATATTTGAAATTACAAAAAAAAAGTAAAAATTTTATTGAAAAAAACTAAATTATTATTATTGCATAATGTGTTGAATTGTAATTGTTTTTTGATAGGGCAAGTAAAAATCTTTACTAACTGGGATATTCGAAAAACAAATCCTTAGAATTAGACTTGTACGTGTCTAAAGTTTCATCTTAAGATGAAAGTTAAATCTCATGATGTTCTTAAAAAGTCTTTAAATTTAACTAGGTGAAACCTGCAGAAACCCTGTATTATCATGAATGGTTTTGGGGAAATTGTGATGCATTTTCAATTTTAAAGATACTTCAATGAATGCAAAGTTTAATAGATCTGGTTTTCTTAGTAAAGCAAATATTTTGTATTTCCTGTCTTCTCTGAATAAATACAATCTTGCTAAATAAAATATACATTACTTTTAAAAAATCTGTCTCACTTCAAGGTTGTGTTTCAGAACTACAAAAGTTCTTGTTTTCAGCTCATTTAAAGTTTCTTTCTTTGTCGCTGTAGGCCTTGCCTCCGACCATGGTGATTGTGGGAATCTACTGCGGGGTGATTGCAGGTATGTTTGT